GAGAGAGAGATGGGAAAAATGGGGGCACTTTAAATGAGCAAACTATGGTGGAAGGGTTAGACAATGAGAGATAAATATTGCCTAGCTATGTTAAAAAAAAAAACAGAGGGAACCATATTGGTCCAACAATCTACTGAAAAATTATACCTACAACTAGCTCAAGGAATATAATATATGTCTAGTCAAGGTTTATCTGAGAACATTTGGTCTTTGCCCAAGCTTTATCTACATGTCACATGGTAATTAAAAATACCAGACTGGTAGAACCAACCTTCTTGGATGTTTAACAGCTATACTTTGAGACATGTACTTGTTCATAGGGACATAAAGGACACTTTTGGCTCCTTGCCGTCCTAGGTCGACTAAGTTCCAGAGGACTATGAGCATCTCTCAAAATGTTCTGTAACTGTAGTGAATCACCTGTCCTCTTGATCAAGGAGGTGGTGGAGACCCCACCAGATGGACTTGAACCAGTGTCCAGTCTACAAAGAGGAGGGTCAACACAGAGGAAACATTTTTTCCATGCTTCCATGCAAAGCCAGCCATGGTCAAAAAGGACCTTTGACTTATCTTCACATAGATGGAACTGGTAAAAGAAAGGAGCCAGGGGCTCCTCCCAAGCCCATGTGACCCCTTAGGAACAGATCCTCAAAGGGTTTTTAAGAGTTTATCTGGGCCAACTGTAGAGTCTTAAATACCCAAAAGGAAAGTATAACCAAAGATTAAAGGGGTCAATTTAATTTTTTTTAAGAATCCATATGTATAGCTAAAGGCTACATACCAAGAAACAATGCCAGACAGGATACGCCTTCCTTTGAGTTGTTGGCCAGGGTGGCCCAAGAGACTCCCAGACAATAACCTAGCATAGAACTGGGAAAATGAACAACAGATCGCAATCTTATCTAAAGCAATATTGACAACTGATTGTTGCTAGATAAGGAATAGCTGATCTTCCTAAAACAAGGATCTCTAGATAGGCTGACTAGATTCAGCAGATGAACAAGCACTGGGGAATGGCTGGGGGCACGATGACATAGTTGACAGTAACAGGAATAACAGAGTATATGGGCTTGGGGCGGGGGGTTGGAAGCCTATGAGAGGGTACTATTTGGGAAGTGGGTATATAGATGAATAAGATTGTTTGGGATGTTCTGTATGATATACACACACAAAAAATCAACAAATAAAGAAATGAGTTCTATTTCAGGAGGAAGCATAAAAATTTATTTCATATTAATTAGTAGAGGTGATAAACATTACCATTGAAATCTACCTGATAACTTTATATTCATACTCAAATGCCAAGGATTCGAGTGTAACCAACTGTGACTAGTAATAATCTGATACATAGAGATTAGAGATCCATGAAACATCTTAGTGTTAGTAGCATTAAAAATGAGTCTTTCTGTAGGAAACAGTATATTTTAACATGAAATGGAGATCTTTTTTAAAGCTTAAAAACTCATTCAATTTTATGTCTTACAGGTTTTATACTCAGTTCAATATTGTATAACTACATTAATTCAACCATGGATCTAAAAATTTACAGCCACTTTTGAAAGAGATGTATGTTTGCTCTGGAAAATGCTATTGAATAGTTTAAAGGTATAAAGAAATGCTTCTTCTAATCACATGGTTATTAAATTAAATTTTTAAATGGGAAAAAAAATGAATACCCCATTCCTTCCTTTGAGAGATCTACAGATTAGCTGACAAACAAGTTGTGTGTATGTGTACCATGAGAACACATAAAGTGTGGCACAAGACTATGTAAGACCTCAGGGCAAATGCTGATTGTGATTCCTCAACTGCACAGCTGGCTACAGTGATTGCATACCTTTATATAGTGTTTTAACAGTAGAAAAATATTTCGGTTCCAATCCCCTGGATCCTTAGATGCTCCTTTGTCTATAGATTGCCCCCTTAGTACAGGATGTTAATATTTAGGCCTTTCCTTTGTTCCTAAATGTACTTTTATCCCAGTTACTGCCTTAGCTCCCCACCTGTTCCAAACTTAAAGCTGACTTCACCCCAGTCCTTGTGATCTGGGAAAGCTTATTCCAGCATCACACACTGAAGGGCTCAATTCCCTCATCAGGCAAATGTTCAAGATTTGGTTGCAATGCTGAATTCTTTTCCATAGAGAATATAAACAACCCTAACATAATAAGCCCAAGTAGCCTTTCTTAAACTGCTAACAGCACAACTAAATTGTTGGAAAGAATGTTTTGGGGAAAATTCATAAAATTCCTCAGTCTTAAATGTTTTTTTAACTAAACTACACATGATGGTTTTCTTTCTTAAGCTAGATTTTAAATAAAAACACTTCAATCTGACAAATCACTAAGGGCAATAGAAGTCTAAATTTGCTAAATTTTACTCAGAGATTCTCACCTGTTTACACACAGACACCCAATAAGACATTGCTTCAGGACTGGGAGTTATAGGTGAGCTCCCCCCACCACCACCCCAGGGATCATTTCTAGTGTGATAGAGAGAAGGCAACTAGCTAAAATTTCAACGGGGAGTTTCCAAGGTGGATTTTTTTTTTTTTTTTCCTTTAGCTAAAAATCTAAAAAGTGCATTCAAGTTTTTCTCTTTGTTAACTCAGGGTCTTTTCCTGGACTGTCTGAATTGTATCCTAACTCCAGGCTATTTGGGGAGTGAATAAACTACGGTCAGCCTATATGTTTTTCCAGGGTACATTTTAATCCTGTTTTCCACCTTCTTTTATGAACTTTTAATAAGTTTGAGTGTATATATTTACTTTTCTCTGTATTTCAAGTGTATTCTTTTACACTTGAACTCAACCTCCTGATAGGTAGAGAGTGGGTGGGAGTGAGCACACAGATGGAGAGCATGAGCGGATGGAGGAGGCAGGCACCGAGGCACAGATGGAATTCTCAGTGGGATACAGCTTTATTTCGCATGGGACACGTTTCCCTCGGGGAAGGGAAAGATGTCAGCTCACGGGTTGTGAGCTGGGACTTTATATATGGGGGCTTTAGGGTGTGGAAGGGGGGAATGTTTGGGGGAGAAATCAGGGAGGGGGAAGCAGGTAGGATTAGGGTCTGGAAGTGTTTACTTTTTCCCTCTTAAGATGAGAGAAAAACAGCTTCTAAAATCTCTGGTTATCAGGTAGAATCTGCTTATCTTATCTTTGGAGGTCAGAGGAAAGGCAGGCTGCTTCTCAGCAGAGTTTGTTCTTCTTAACCTCAAAGGTCAAGGTGCTTATCAGCTAAGTTCCCTTTTCCAGGCTCCAAAGTCTGTAGGTCCCTGTTGGGGAGGAGGGGAGCTGCTGCTATTTGGAACCCTAACACCTCCTACAACTCTATTTTTCTGGAGATACTTGACAGGTTACAACTGAGGTCAGTTTCTCTCAAAGTCCGGCCTATCTTGTTCAAAATTAGATTTTCCCTCTTCTGTTCTCTTAACTGATAACCATGATAAGATCTCAGCACTGCTCCTAAAGAAGACAATCTTGTTCTGGAAGAAAACGATGTTGGGCCAAAGATATTGCATTATGAGGCAATGTTGCATTTCAGAAATCTAGATGGTACATATGTATGAAAATCCTGAGCCTTTTGAATCAGAGATGGTGGCAGGAGAAGGATGTGCAAAGCTAATGGGATGCAGTTCATTGACATGGGAGCTCTGCTGCACAACTTGGAGTTTGGTGTCCTACCAATGACCCCTGGACCCTGATATGCTAAAGAGTGTCTTTTTAACTTGTACATGGTAAATAGTAAATGAGGTGGAGTTGCTGGAACTGCCCCAGTACTGAAGGGCTTTGAAGATTCAATGAGGTAAAAAGATGTTACAATAAGTTTATTATTTGTGGTCAGAAAAATGACCATCAGACGTGTACCTGAGGAGGATGCTGAGGGTATCTCTTTCACTAAAAATGAGGAATGTATTGTATATTAGTTAATTTTCCTGTTGCTTCAATAAAATACCCTGACAAAAGTAACTTAAGGGAGAAAAGATTTATTTGGGCTCGTAGTTTGAGTGTACAGTCCACCATGGTGGAGAAGTACTGGCTGTATCCAAAGCCAGGAAGCAAAAAATGGTGAGTGCTACTCTTCTAGCTTCCTCCTTCCATCAAGACCCAAGCCCAAGGAATGGGGCTGCCTTTAGGGTGGATCTTTCCACTTCTACTAACCTAAAGAAGTCAAGTTCTCACAGACAAGCCCAGAGGCTAGTCTAATCTAAATAACCCTGTGGTGTGCCTGGAGGCTTATCTCCTAGGTAATTCCAGATCCTGTCAAGCTGACAATTATCAGGAAACATCACCTAATGCTAAAGAACACTTGTCAATTTGAGAAGCTCTGCGGTAACTCTCACAAGGCTGAGCTGATGGGAAAAGATGTTGCTGTGGAATTGATGTTAGGGGATGAAAGGTTTCTGGAATGACAGGGTCAAGCAGCCAGACTTAACTGTTAGAAGGAAGGGAACACAATTGCTGTGTTGAGCAACAAAACTAGAATAGCACTCAGTATGCCCTGACCTGAGGAATCTGTTGTACTACCTAACAAATCATGGTGTTCTCATGAGTGATAGAGAGAACCAGAAGGTTATTTGAACTGTCAAGGAAGTGCGAACAAAAATCTTCACCAGTTTTCACTGCGTACAAAAATGGGCCTTACACAGTATCCAGGTAAGTCCTTTCATAGACTCAGAGCTCTTTTATCAAACAAGAGATGAGTCTTTTTGAGAGAGGACAATAAGATGCTACTGCAAATGTGTGTGTGTGTGTGTGTGTGTGTGTGTGTGTGTATGTGTATGATAAACACGCCCACGATCTCCTCCACAAAGACTTAAGACTATCTGAGTAAATACACCCTGGCAAAACAAAAACAAAAACCCTCAGACTTTTCAAGAGCTATTGCATATAGGACATAAGGCTCTGTGTTGATACTGAAACAAGAAACCTGAAATATTTTCATTGTCTTCTGTTTGGAATGAGAAGATTAAAAAAGCCAAGTGATAACATCCTAGCACAAGCATGGCTCACAATAGTGAGTACAGTAGATCAGTAAGATCCATCCTCAGTTATTTCTCTGGTTTATGATTATACAATTGGAATATGGCTGACAGTTGACAGAACTTCTCCAGTCTGTGAGGAAGAGCCATGGTAAACTTGAAACTGTCATTCTCCTCAGTGATGTTAATGTGTCGAAGTAGTAATATGTGCTGGGAAGGATTGCAGAGGGTCACAACACCATTAAAGACTTTTAAAGTAAAGGAGGAGGCTGAGGGGACAGCTCAGTTGGTAAATTATTTGCTTCCCAAGCCTGAAGACATTAGTTCAGCTCCTAGCACACACATGAAAAGCTGACTGTGGTGGCATACATCTGTAATCCTAGCTCTGGGGAGGCAGAGACAAGTGTATCCCTAAAGCTTGGTGTCCAGTCAGGCTCATTGAATTGGTGAACCCCAAGTACAGTGTCCCAAAAGATAAGGTCTGAGAAAGGCACCCAACTGACCATTGACTTTCACATGTATATACACACACACACACACACACACACACACACACACACACACATACACGTGCAGGAGCATTGACATTCATTATATTCTCAAGGAATCACTAATGCTACTCCTACAAAAACTAAAAGCTAGATGGATCATGGCTATAAGAGGGAAATTAACCAAATTAACCAAATGATAGCTTATGTCCTATCTGCCACTCAGACATGGTATCTTCCATACCAAGGCTCTTTGGCTCTTGGTATGATGTTATTGATCATGTGAGCTTGTTTCTCTTCAACTTCTATCAGTAAGGAGAATCAAAGCATTCATTTTTTCATGGAGAGGACAACAGTATATATTTACTATTTTACACTAGGGCTCCAGTAAGAGAATCTGCCGGGATCTTGGCTATATTAAAAATATACAAATATAACTTTCAAATTAATGACATCGTATAGATTAGACCTGATAAACACCCAGCAGCAAAACTTTGAGATACCCTTGAAAGACATGTGTATGACATCTGCAATGACTATTGAAGGAGGTAAGACAAATACCTGAATGTCAGTGATGGGATCAGCGGTAGTCATAGAACTATAGAAGTGAAAGGAGTGGAGTTTACCCGATTGTTTTACGTCACCTCTAGCCCACCTAGACATTATTGCAGCAACTGGATAGGCTTCAAACAACTTTGTGCAAAAATAAGCTGTTAGTACTTTACTGACATCCTGTAATTATTGCTTCTAGCACAGGAGATTTTTTAAAGGAATGGGAAACTAATCAAAAGCCACTTGCCACCCATGAGCAGAATGGAAACAGAAGGTACTTAGCAGCCATGAGGCCAGGCTCCTCTTAACATGGTTAGAAACCAAAGAGTAAGTGTGCCCCTCTTTCTTCTCAAGAGGAGCAGGTTTGAGATGCATTTCCTAAACTGACTCCTCAGAAGGTCTTGCCAGAACTGAACACCAGCTGCCAAATTAATAACTGCTTTTCATTTTTGCCTTCCCTATTTTAATTCTCACTTTTCTCCCTATGATGCTTTTTAAAAAGGTGTATTATTACTATTATTCTATTTATCATACAAAGGGATGGGATTTATTGTGACACTTCCATATATATGTCATTGTGTCACTGGACTTTGTTTTACCCACCTCCCCAATCCTCCCTCTTCCCTCTGGCTGTTCCCTTCCTTCCCGTAAGTACTTCCTGCTCTGTTTTCATTCATGTCACATATATTCTGTTACCTTCTTTAGTTCCCCTTTGGACCCCTTTTCTTTTAATGGCATCTTTTCTATTTTCTGTCACCTAGATTCTACCCATGGAAAGGACACATGGTGTCTGCCTTTCTGATTGTGGCTTGTTAAGGTTCAGATAGCCCCACCCCCTCACCAACAGGGCCTCACAAGCCCCTGAGAAAATGGAACTGAGTTGATAAGCACCCTGGTCTTTGAAGTCAAGAGAAGCAGACTTTTCTCCACTGTTTGGCCAACACAGCAGGCTTCACCTTTGATCTGTAAAAAGGAAAGGACACATGGTGTCTGCCTTTCTGATTGTGGCTTGTTAAGGTTCAGATAGCCCCACCCCCTCACCAACAGGGCCTCACAAGCCCCTGAGAAAATGGAACTGAGTTGATAAGCACCCTGGTCTTTGAAGTCAAGAGAAGCAGACTTTTCTCCACTGTTTGGCCAACACAGCAGGCTTCCCCTTTGATCTGTAAAAAGGACAGGTTTTAAAAGTCCTGCTCTCCCACTTCCCCCCACCCAACTTTGAAAAAAATACATTTTCCTGCCTTCTGCAGGAAGCAGAAGCCTCCCACCTTAAAAAGACCCCAGCTCATGACCTGGGGCAGACATTTTCCCTGCTTGGAAGGGAATCTGTCCCATGTGTTCCTTTGCTAATGAACTCTATTCTGATGGAGTTTTATCTGTGTCCTGGTGCTTTCTCCTGATCAACCCTATTCATCATAAGGCTACTTTATCTATCAGTGGCTGATTTCACTTAACATAATAATCTCCAGCTCCACCCATTTTCCTACAAATGTCATAATTTCATTCCTCTTTGTGCCTGAATAAAATACCATTGTATATATATTTTCTTGATCTAAGATGCATCTTGGACAGACTACCTATATGTGATATCTGCTTTTGGGGAGAAAGGGTAGGCTACAATGATTCCCCTTTAGCCTTGTCTGTCTTATTCTACTTATTTTAGGGAATTCTGTCTTCTGTGTACACATGATCTGAAAAGAAACCACCATATTCTTTGGTAAGCTTGGTCATGGTTGTTGATCAAGGATGGACATGGGACATAAAATGGGACAAATGAAGTAGTTCTTCAGATTTCTGTAGCTGGGGCTATCAGAAGAACAGATTCCTTACTAGTCATAGAACTAGCAGTTTGTTGTTTTGTTTTGGCTATTCACAGGCAAGTCCCTTAACACTTGAAGAAATTGGTTTCAGAGAATGAAGATGACACCAAAAAAATTTGGTGGCAAAAGATAAAATGAGTATCTCAGACAGCTCTGTGTCAGTCATCCCTAAGCCTAGCTCTCTGCTCCCTATACAGTCATATGTATATATCTGTGTGTGCTGTAATAAGTTCATCTGTTTAAATGTTTAAATTGAATTTCTTTTACTTACAACATAAAGAAATCCTATATAGCCAAAGTAGCAAGTACTTCACAAGAATTATGTTTTATTCTTAAACTTCACATGTGTCTCTAGCATCTATGAAATCATTTTATTTGAGAAAGCACAGCCATGTCTAAAAAACATAACTGAGAAACATGTGCAGTCAAGGAGCAGTGGTGGCCCCACAACCCAGGGGAGCCTCAGTTTCCTCATTTGTGTTATCATTGCTCAGTACAGGTAAACAGGAACCAAGAAGTCTCCTACAAGAAATTTGATCTCCCCCCAATCATTATTTGACAGAGAGGAATAAGTCAGAGACCACCACTGGCCTGCTACTAATGCTGCTGGTCAAACGTCAGAAAACAGAGAGCTTTGTAAATGGAATTGCCCCAATCCTCAAGGCTGAGCACAAAGTCTGGTCAGACCTGCCAGATTTCACACTTGCCTAAACCTTCTGTCCTGAAAGAATGCCCCAACCTTCCTTCCCTCTTCTAAGACTTTTGAATGTGTCTTATTGGTGGGATTCAAACTGAATCCAGATATGTGCTTCTAAAACTTCCAGTCCTTTCCATGTAGGAAAAAACATAGAAGGGAGTGAAAATTAATGTTCATTGCTAATAAACGATGCCAAACACAGAGGATACTTCACAAGACCAGGGATAATTAATGTGATTGCCTTATAATTTTGGTATGGAGTAGGGATTAAACGCATATGTGACAATAATAGTCAACTTTTAGATTTGCTTGATTTTTATTATTGTTGTTGCTTTATTTTGTTTTGTTTTGAGACAGGGTCTCCCTGTAGCCCCAGCTGTCCTGGAAGTCACTATGGCCTCAAACTCACAGAGATCTGCCTGCCTCTGTGTAGGAGGCTAGGCATGAGACCAACAGTGCAGGCACACCCTACTTCCTATTGATGAGCAGGAAGGCACTGCCCGGAAATCTGCCCTGGCAGCTAGAAACCAACAACACATCCACAGCTCCAATAGAAGGATGCCAACGGAACATAAGGGACCAATGGGAGGAGGGAAGGGGGTATAAAGGAGACGTCTGTGTTCACAATAAATGAGCTCGCTTGCACATTGCCTAGTGAGTCCTTGACTTCACACTTACTTATCCCCTGCCCCCGCTGGGAGGAGGTCAAAGGGACCCTGGCTGCAACACCTCTGCTTCCCAAATGCTGGGACTAACCATATTTTTGACACTTCCCTATCTGTAGAAACTTAATTTATATACTAGCCATGTGAGATAGATATTCTCTCCCTTCTACAAATAAAGAAGCTTTTAAGAACTATGATTTTCTGTAGTTTAGATGTTCAGTAAGTGGCAAAAAGAGGTTTTGATCTTGGTGCTTTGTAACTTCAAAGTTCCTCTGTCGTGATAAATTATGACAGAACAACAGAGGGCTTCTAGAGTATAAATAAATTATCATAGCTGAGAGACTTTATGAAACCCTTTGAAGGAAACAAGATTTTGGTCTTGCCCTTTGAAGAATTTGTAAGTGACTGTGCAGAAAGAAAAACATTCCAATGGAGATCAATGCTCAGACCAGAGTGGAAGAAGTGAATGGGACCAACTGCAGGAAATATGGTTGCCAAAGTGTTTGAGTCTATGGGTAAACCTACCTGACTTTAACCATCCCAGAAGGCATGATGAACTCTGCCTTCCATAATGTGGACTGGGCCCAACCAGGGTTGCCTCTTTGATGGATTCAGTATTGTACAGGGCACTGTGGTAGGAGGGACTGCCTTTGCCATCCCCTAGGTACAGAAACGAATTATCTGCTGCCTTTACCACGTGAAGTGCCAGTCATCCCTGGGGCACACCTCCTCCAGGCCAATTTCCTTGCATCATCACCAGCACCTGAGAGGTATGATGAGTGTATACGTATTCTCCTGTCACCACAGAGACCCTCAAGTTAGGGGTGACTTGCTTTGACATTGGAGAACTAATCACCCAGCAAAGAGAGCTGGGAACCAGCAAGTGAATGATGATCATATGAGCCAGCAGCAACCTTTGGGCTCATCCTGAACGATGTATCCTTGACACATGTGACCTTCAGGAGGAATTCACAGAGCAGAGGAAAGCAAACAAGAGGCTTACCAAGGAACAGGCAGAGCCATATCTGTGGTGGAAAGGGCTAAGCAGCTGAAGAGGGCAGCCAAGGTGATTCTGGGAAAGCTGAGTAGTTCACCAGCTCACCAGGCACTGTGGGTGACAGTCTAATTGAGCAGTGCAAATTGGAAGCCCAGAAGGTGCTACTTACTAGGTCTTGGAGCATCACCTGCCCACAGGCATGGTCAGCCCATGCTCCTCCACTGACTCCAGCAAAGTTGGCCTGTCTGTACCTCCTCTACTCTACAGGGACACAGCTTAGTGGTTCTGAAAACTACCTTCAGTCCCAAGGTCCCAGGCACTCAAATTTCATGATTAACTTAAAGTGAAGTATGTAAAAGTAAAATAAATTCAATTCTCTTTAAAAAAAAAAGAGGATGAGAAGAAAGAGGAGAGGGAGGAGGATAAGGAGGGAGAAAGGAGAAAGGGAGGAGAGGAGAATAAAGCAAAGGGGAAGAGGAAGGAAGGAGGGAAGGAAGGAGGGAGGGAGGGGAGAAGGGAAGGGAAGGGAGGGGAAGGGGAGGAAGGTGCTTTTCAACAGGTTCCCGGAGACTGCACAATTCGACCACTTTAGAAGTTCCTTTGAGAGTTCCAGTCATTGTGGGTGAGTGTAGCTTCTCCCAGAAATACAGGCGCCTGTGTGTGTACATATGCATGCACACATGGATGCCTGCCTGGGGGCTTGTTCCCCCATTCCCCAGTCCCAGTCCTAGTCAGTGGACTTGTCCCCCAGGGAGCTCCCTGCCATGTTAGACTATGGCCTACATGATCATCTACCTACCCCCTCCCTTAAGATCTCTTCCTATGCTGGGAGTGGTGGTACATGGCTTTAATCCAAGCCCTTGGGAGGTGGAGGCAGGTCTACATAGTGAATTCCAGGCACGCTGGGGTGACATGGAGACCCTGCCTCATAAAAGAAAAGAGAAGGGAAGGAAAGGGGAGGGAAGGGGAGGGAAGGGAAGGGGAGGGAGAAGGAAAGGGAAGGGAGGGAAGGGGAAGGAAGGGAAGGGGAGGGAAGGGGAGGGAAGGGAAGGGAAGGGAAGGGGAAGGAAAGGGAGAGAGAAGGGAAGGGAAGGATGAGGACGAAGGAAGGGCCAGGAAAGGGAAGGGCAAGGGAAGAGAGGGAATTCTAGAAGAAAAAAAAGTATAGCATATTAGGAAAGTAATGAGTGATTTGGGGCTGTAGAATTCAGAAGGCCAAACAAACACATTGGGAACAAGCTTCATGAGACCAGAAACTGGGCCTCTGGTTGTTCATCATTGTGCCCTTCCCACACAGCACCTGGCTGCAGAGGACTTCATGGATGTTTATTGAATTAAATGACTGAAGATAAGACTAGGAATATGGCTGAGTCAAGATTTAAAGAGTTAAGAATGCCAGACTGAGTTTGACCTTTATCTTGCATGCAACAGGAAGTCAACTAGGATAGCAAGAGCACAATCTTATCACTATGAAAACAGGTTCTTAGGCAGCCATGTGAGGAGGTCCTGGAAGAGGTAGCCAGCAGTGGAATAATACGTCTGTGGTCTGTGGTCAGGGGGATGATGTGATTAAATTTGTAAATAGATCAGAAAAAGAAACCCATGTCACTAAATTAGGAAAAGCAGCTTGAGCAATACCTGAAATCAAATTCTGGTTCATCTACAAAGAGTATTTTGGAAAGAACGTTATCAGCTTTAAGAGGAGAAGTTAGGAAAGGTCATTCCACTAGCTCTCATGAATATCAGGAGAAAGATTTGTAGAAAGAAAAAAAAAAAACCTATGTATATGCAACGAATACGGAATCTACTAGTAATTAGTTCTTCCTATAAAATAATTTAAAAATGAAACTCTTGAGACTATCTAGAACAAGTAGTTTTAGAAATTATTTTCATCACACCCTTATATAAATATGTTCTATTTATTTATTTAAAAATTTGCATAACCATTATCAGCTGACAACTTTAATTCATGAAGAGTAAAACTTACTGTATTTGTCTCCTACAAATATACTTCATGGGCACCTCATTCTGTGTGTGATTATTGTTCTTATTTAAAAGATACATTTTCAACCAGATGTGGTGATGTGTCGGGAGCTGGAGAAACAACATTCATTACCAAAAAATATAATATAGCTCTACAAACAGTTGACTTAAGCAGGAAATTCTGCCCGCGCTAGTAACCTTTGGAAAAAATTTATGT